AAAGTATCTATCTATCTATCTATCTATCTATCTATCTATCTATCTATCTATCTATCTATCTATCTATCTATCTATCTATCCAACATTCTGTACTTTCGTCCATCTCTCTATTTATCTATATATCTGTTCGTTTTCTTTATGTCTCGCGCACAATGTCTTTAGGCATAAGGAACCTCGCTTGCTTCTATGTCTCGGCCTGCTGTCTTCCCTCACCCGTTGTCCTCATTCTGGTACCAGAAGCGGTCTCCATCCCGAAGTCGTGTGAACTGCTCCTCGATGACAAGTTTGAATATGTCGGACATTCCTGACGTGCTCGGCGCATCCAGCAGACCACCGGTGACAAAATCCAGGTTGTCCAATCCACCCGAGCCCCCATACAAGTCACTTATGGTCTGAAAAACAATAATATTGTGATACCATTTGTTACGTTATTTCTTATGAAGCCCTTTTCACCGAAATAAGAATATTGAAGAGATGGGAGGAAATCTAATAATAGAGCATTCATCTTATTAAGAAATGTCCTATTTATTCAGAGGAGCTCTGTTTTGTAAAGACTTACCTGATAGTGCTAGCAAATATGAGCAACGCTTGAGTGTACTTTGTATTGTGAACAGATAAAAATATACATGTGCGCTCTTTCTCTATAGACACAATGAATGAAGTTCTCTTGTTTATCCATTTTTTTTCTTTCAGTCAGTCATTAAACTTGCTTTCTTTTCAGAATTTTTCCTTTCGTATTTGAAGATGACTCCTTACCCCGTTTGAGCCTCCCAGAGTGCTCCAGTCTGTTCGCGTTGCCAGTTTGTAAGCTTTTCGTACAGAGTTGTAGTCCGCCAGTCCATGATCGCGAAAGCGCTGAATCTGTTCAGCAACGTGGTCCGTGCGGGAGTATTCATAAGGTCCGTGGAACGATTCTGGACAGAAAGAAAACAGTAATTGATATTGATTAGTGTCTTTCGAGTTGAATTTCGCCTTAAGGTCTTCGGAACACTATCGTTTATTTTGTTTTTTAAATGTGGTTTTATGTCCTTTTTTCTAGTCAGCCATTTTTGCGCAATATTGTATTACCGGTATTACAAACTTGATCTGAACTATAGAACTTCAAGGTTGAAATCCTATTGTCGATATTACGTTTTGTTAAAAAGCTAAATCAAAGGGACAGTGGATAAAGGTATGGATGCATGAGGCTTCATATATATATATATATATATATATATGAACAGGTGTGCTATTTTCAATACATAATTTTTGTTTACAAACTTAATGAATGATGACTTACCAATAAAATCAGATTCAAATGTCCCATCCTCCTTTGTTCCAAGAGTGTAGATCATGCCACGCACTATGTTCTCAAAATTTACTTTGACCACGTTCTGGATACAAAGAAACACATAAAAAAAAAATCTCACATTATGATTGAATACATATAAAAATAAATAGATTTAATATAAACCGTTTTGTCATCCCTCTGATGTGTGAGTATCTGTGTACAAAGGAGGTTATACAGGAAAGTCCATGGTGCATATGCTTTTATCATTTTACTGTGAGTTTGGGAAAAAAGTGAGTGTTCTTGAGCGTGTTTTTGTTTGTGTGCTATGTGTGCTATGTGTGTTCGTCGAGGGCGAGGGGGGGGGGGGGCGGCGGTGTGATGACAGGGATTAAGACAAAACATTTTGATATCGCTGAATTCCTGTTGCCAAAACACGAGATAACGCAATTTGAAACTGCAATTATACGAAATACAGGCATTCATTGTGATAAACGGTACTAAGTTTGGGCTCTTAGTAAGTTGTAAGGGAAGATTTTTTAAAAACCTTGACACCTGAAACTAAAAAATCTCACTAAAGTCGGATGTTGAGTTAATAAGCTTTTAAGGTAGCACTCGCAGAGCAAGGTCATTCAGTGGACATTACTGACCTGTGGGTCCCAGAAATTGTTGCACAGCCTCAAAGAAGGAACGTCCCTAGCTTGTCCTTCAGGACCTCGACCCTGAGTGACATTACGAGTGCACTGACCGACCGAGTAGCTAGGGAAGAAAAAAAAAAGAAAAAAAAGTTTCAAGCATACTGTATATTAGTGAAAAAATATGAGAATGAGGAAAACAAGTCAAAATAAGAGAGAGAGAGAGAGAAAGAGAGAGAGAGAGAGAGAGAGAGAGAGAGAGAGAGAGAGAGAGAGAGAGAGAGAGAGAGAGGGGTTGGGGGGGAGGTGGGAAGTGCGTGATTAGAAGTAACAGAAATGCAAAAGTCAAAAGGTTTGAGCTTGAGAAAGCTGCTACATGCTACATAAATTTGGGACAATTATTGCATACAAAGATTAGCTTCTGGTAGAATGATTGAATTATGCTTTAAAAAATGTCAAGGTTAATTTCTGTAAGTGGAAGCACGTTACCAATAACAAAAAAATCTAACTAGATCTAGCTGCCTCGACATTTTCGGAGAACTCTGAAGCAAATTGAATAACACTTATGATAAAGAAAACAACATAGCAAACCACAGCAGGAAATTCAAAAACCACTACCAAAAAGACACGAATGGAAAATTATTCGAAGATCAACGAAATACTTTCATGGCAGAAGATCATAATACACATACTAGTCACTGATTTTATACTTTTGCTTAGTACTTTACAAGTCCTGATACTCATGGTGCCATGACAGCAATGTACGCATGCCGTTTAATGACATCCTTTTATGTCAGTAGATTCATGTTCAATACAATGTATCCATTTGTGTATTTTGTGAATTGCAGCTCATTTCGTGACGATGTATAAGCGTGTGCGTGTGATAAGCAAGTAGATGTGTGTGTGTGTGTGTGTGTGTGTGTGTGTGTGTGTGTGTGTGTGTGTGTGCGCGCGCGTGTGTGCGCGCGCGTGTGTGTGTGTGTGTGTGTGTGTTTGGCGTACATGTGTGTGCACATGTGTGCGTGTTATGTGTTCGTGAGTGTGTATGTGTGTGTTTGAGTGTGTATGTGTGTGTGTGTATGAGTGTGTAAATTTGTGTGTGTGTGTTGTGTGTGTCGCGTGCGTGAATATTGTTCGTACATGTATTTATGTAAAGCGCCTAGAGCTGTGTTTACACGGGAGTGGGCGCTATAGAAATAATAATAATAATAATAATAATAATGGATTGCATTTATATAGCGCATATCCACTTATGCAATGCTCTATGCGCTTAACATGATACATATAATGGATTTACAAATCAATTTTAAAGATACATAGTGTTACATACTCATGCAAACACATATTCACTCACGCACGCACCACACACATATACATACTCACATACACACATACATACATATGCACATACGCACATAGAAACTCACAACGATCTACAGCTTGGATGCATTCTGTCTAATCGAAATATGATGAAAATAGAAATGATTTTAGTTTCTTCTTAAAAATTTCTAGATTTTCTGCTTCTCTGATAGTTTTTGGAAGCCTATTCCAAACAAGTGGGGCAAAATATGAAAAAGAGCGTTGGCCATATGATTTGAAATTTATTTTAGGCTTAACAAGGGTTGTTTTGTCACTAGATGATCTGAGCGTTCTAGGAGGCACATAGGGTGTTAAAAGCTGTTTTAGATAGTCCGGTGATAAATCATTTAAGCACTTGTAGCAAGTTAAACAGATTTTATATATGATACGCTCTTTCACTGGGAGCCAGTGTAATGCTTTTAAAATAGGAGTCACATGATCCTGCTTTAGTTTTTTAGTAATTATTTTGGCAGCAATATTTTGTACTCTTTGTAGTTGTTGTAACTGTTCATCAGGTACACCAGCCAGTAAGGGATTGCAATAATCAATCCTTGACAATATAAGTGATGTTATTAAAGTTTTGGTGACACCAACAGATAGATATTTTCTAATGCTCCCTATTTTCTTCAGCTGGAGATATAGATTTGTACAAAGATTGGATACATGGTATTTCATTGACATATCTTGATCTAGCACCACACCTAAATTTCTTATTTCAGTTTGGGCTGATATTTCGTGGCCATTGATGTTTATTCTGATATTGTCGATTTCATTGCATGCGCTGCTACGAAGAAATAATATTTCGGTCTTATCCTCATTTAATTTTAATTTGTTCTTGAACATCCCATTTCTTATATCATTGATACATCTGGCGACTCTATCTATGAGATTGTGTACATTGTCAGTTGTAGTGAATTCATACAGCTGTGTATCGTCTGCATAAAGATGGTAATTGAGGGCATATAAAGAAATCATTGATGACAGACTTTGCGTGTACATTGTAAAGATGACAGGACCAAGGACCGAACCCTGAGGAACTCCGTATTTTAGAGGTAACCTATCTGACACATCCTTGCCAATTTTCACTGACATAAATCTATTGTCTAGATATGATTTAAACCACATTAGAACAGTACCTGATAGTAAAAAATGACTTTTCCAATCTCTCTAGTAAAATTTCGTGGTCGATGGTATCGAACGCCGCTGACAAATCAAGCAGAACCAAAACACAGACTTTTTTTTATTATCGATTTCATTTAAAACATCTGATGATACCTTTAAAAGAGCGATCTTCATTATTATTATTATTATTATTATTATTATTATTATTATTATTATTATTATTATTATTATTATTATTATTATTATTATTATTATTATTATTATTATTATTATTATTATTATTATGTGTTTTGACTTTAACTCTAGAGTTCGAGTTTGAGACATTACTACACTGACTACTACTACTTACTGTAGGCTATAGGCTATAAGAACAAACTAATGTTAAAAGTGGCGTAACTATTACAAGAGCAACGTTTCGGGAATGAGACTGGTTTTTTTTTTCAAAGCTCGATCATATTATACTCAGAAATTAGACTATATGAGTATATCATTATCATGAGTAGAGTTGCGTAATTTTATGTTTCTGCGTAATGTTGTTGCGGTTGTTGTTGTTGGTATTGTCGTCGTCGTTGTTTTTGTTGTTGTTGGTGGTGGTGCTGAAGCTGTTGTTGTTTTTCTTATTCTTCTTAATATTGTCTTTGCTGCTTTGGTAAATGTAGTGTGCAGCTGCTGATGCTGTTCGGTTAGATCTAAAGTTAGAGTTAAAGCCAAATGATTCAATCAAAATCAACTCAAACTTTAGAAAAAGAAGAAAAACAATTTCAGGAAATCAGAAACAGACCAAACCTTAAGTCAAAGTAAGATTACGGTAAGTGAAACTGTAACTTGTAAAACTTCAACACCCGAGGAACCTCCATAATATATGCCTATAAAACTCTGTAGAGATAATAACATGTGTGGGATACTACTGTGTCAAGCCCACTGGCCCAGTCTGTTGTGCAAAGTGAGGACACGAACGCAATTGAAATACACAGAAACGTAAGTTATAACCTTTCCATTCTCTTTTATTAACAACATAATATAATAATAATATTTTCAAATCTGGTAATCATGGCGAGGACGACTCTTGCACACGCATTTGTAATTAAATAAGTAGCCTGTGGTGTGATGTCTTCTTTTATTGGGGGCGGGAGGGGTTGCATCAGTATGTGCTTCTAAATTCTATATCTGCATAAGGTACACGTGATCGCATCAGTGTGAATATGCGTGCATGCACGTGTGTGTGTGTGTGTGTGTGTGTGTGTGTGTGCGTGCGCGCGCGCGCGCGTGAGTATGTGTGTGCGCCTGTGTGCGTGTGTGTGCGAGTGTGTGTGTGTGTGTGTGTGTGTGTGTGTGTGCGCGTGTGCGTGTGTGTGTGTGTGTGTGTGTGTGTGCGTATGTGTACGAGTGTGTGTGTGTGTGTGTGTGTGTGTGTGTGTGTGTTTGTGTGTGTGTGTGTGTGCGCGTGTTAACAGCCGGGTGTTCACATACACACATGAATGCATAAAAGCATAAACATTAATTCCCATTTGTTAATAATGGGAGGCAATCGTCACAGTTGAGGTTACTCTCATTTCTGTGACGATGTAATGACTTCGCCAGTAGATGACATTATTCTAAAACGTTATACATTTTTTATACGCTACTAAAGTTTAAATTCTGAAAGTGCACTGTTCAGGAAGACCCACTCAAAATTCTCAACTTCTTCGTTCTTTCAGGATCGCTCGCACTTTCTTCATGCTGGTAGCGACGTTCACCTCATTCGGATAGTTGTACTTATACTGGGCTTGCGGATTGTTCACAATGTCTTTCATCACTTTACCATCCGTCCCAAAGAACAGAATCCGAGGGATGTACAACCCGTCCGGGTGGAAATCTTTGTCTCTGGGAGCTTCAAAGTACTCCAGATTGACCATGACGAAGCTCTTGCTCAAGGCCTGAATCTCAGAGCTATTGGAGACTTTCCTCTTGAGGTGGACGCAAGCCGGACAAGTCATCTTGTGAATTACCAACATCATGGGTTTCTTCTCCGTATAGACCTTTTGCATGCCTTCGTGGAGGCTCATCCACGCAATATTCGAGCCCCATCCTGTGAAGTAAAGCTACGTTATATGTTTTTGAGGAGTTATTATTGTAACGGCAAGATGAATTTTCACTGACGTATTATTATGTCAATTGAAAAGGGAGAACATTAAAAAAACAGATTGGGGCATTTTTGAAACTGGGTTATTGGGGAATTTCTAAATCTACCTACCCTCTCGACTTCGTGCAAAAGAGATGGGTGCTTTAACTTTTAACGTGAAATCAAAAACTTCTTAACAGTGTTAAGGGGTGGGTGTAGACTACTCAACAGTTATCGACATAGGCAACGCTACAACAGAGCACTACAAGAAAAAATGGCCAACATTTCGTTTGCAGACACAGCCACATACATGTAATCACCTAGAGTATAGTCAAATCAACGATGTTATGTAATAGATGTGTCCAAGGCTTAAAGGTTGTTCCCAAGTGAATTTGAGAAGGTACAAAAAATCCAATGACTCCGGCTTTCTTACAATTTCGTTCACGTTTTCAAGTGGGGTCATTCAAAAGTAAATTTAGACGCAAGAGGGTGCCCCAATGGGACAACTAAAGCGTTTAAATCAAAAACTAGAAAAATCCAAAGAACTAGGATCTCTAGATCTAGGACATTTCTGAGCTATAGATATCTAAGACCTAGATTTGAGTGTTTCGACTTTTATCTATAACAGTAGGCTAGGCTTAAGAAAAAGTGAGATGAAATGTTCGGATAAGAAAATTTATTCATATTATAGAAATTCACTTTTTAAAAGTAAAGCTTTAAAGTTTAAGGTATTCAATATTAATATAAATCATTCTAGTATAACTTACCGTTGGATTTCACCCTTTCAGCGGCAGATACAATGCTGAAGAGAGGACCGAAGCTTGCAGCCAAAAAACGAGCCATGACTAGGCCTAGCCTATTCCGCGGAGGTAGTAAGTACTTATGCACCACGGCCTCGGGAATGCAAGGTTCCAAAAGTCAAAGAATGCAAAACTTCCGTTCATTACGTAACAGTAATAGCTGTTCTGTTGTCGTGCCTTTTAGGTCTCGGGCAAAGCGTGTACATGGCCAGAGTGAACGTGTTTCGCCCATTGACTTAATGAACAATAATAGTAATAGCCTATACTATAGAATGAAACTGAGCACTATCATGGCAGCCACTCTTTGCTTTCTATAAAAGTATTAAGAAACTTCGCTGGTGCAAAACACAAGTCTCGTTATTGTCGAATGCGAGAGCAATTTTTCCCTTTTTGCCATTTCTATTAGTTCCAAATGTATACAAATGGTGATTAGGAATGACCACTCTTCGATACCATTTATGATAGGCGAGAGTCTAATATATTAATATGGCATGGCCAAACATTAACACGGAAAATAAGATAAATAATATCGTTTCACAACAGGATCTCAAATCCCTAAATTTCGACGTGGCCTGGTTTTGTTTTAATAAAAGCATTACGGCGCTTGCAATACAATACAGTCATTAAAGTGCCCCAAATTAGAGGTGTTACAAGAGAGTAACAAACACAAAGAAGAACGGGGGG